CGAACGGTGAGACGGACGTGTAGTTCAGTTTTGGGAACGCGTACGGTGCTGCAGGGATTATATATAGGTGTAGTAGTACCTCTTCGGGCTCTTGTACACCTTTTTCTTGCTACGTGTGCGTGTTCCTTAGATCCTCAGATGGCTCCAGCACTTTCGTAACCACGGGCCGAGAGTCTTTGCTAGATTTTGGCATTTGGCAACTGGCATACGGTTTAATGTGAAGTCAACAAGAATTGCGTGAATGTTGTTTTCTGTCCGCAACACAAGTCGACGCGCCTCAGGTCAACTGTCTTAACTCAAGCTAGAAGTTCCCCGAATCTGAACCACTTTGATCAACGCGGCACCCTGCATTTTCATCGAGCGTGGAGTCACCTACATACACTGGTTTTTGTACCCTATTTTTTTCTGTTTCTTCGTGGGGTCGTGTATGCCGGTTTTGAGAACACGGGCTCCCAATCTTTCTTTTTTAGAGCTAATGTGAGAAACAACAACAACAACAACAACAACCCTCCCCGGTGGTCTAGTGGGTAGCCTCGCAGCCTCCTAAGGGCCACAGGTCATAGGTTCGAGTCCCGGCAGAGAGAGTTTTTTTCTCACTAAATATATCCTGGTCTAGGATGAAAGCGACGCGCTGCAAAGCTCGTTCGTTGGTGAACCATAATCGACTTCGTAAGTCGCGAGGGAAGGGATTGCTGTACCCTTCTCGCGATAAAAATACCTCAGGCATGAACCGCAGGAGGGGGTCCAACCCCCTCCTCCTATGTGACCCCGGTTGGGTCGTCTAGCTAGTTGAAGTGGAGGATAGGGGCCAGAGGGGCAGACGACAGAGTCCAATGATGGGAGAAAAACAACAAAAAAACAAACCCTACCCACACGCGTGGCTACCCCAATCCCACCCTGAATGCACGCTTGCAAACACTTCGACAACCTCATGCAGGGCATTGGACATACGAGTGCAAGGGCAAGGCCACGTACAAGGCGCGCGTGTCGAGGACCGAAATCCTTGAGAACCCCGACCTCAAGCCCAAGTTCCACCTCGACCTTCCCCCCGGCAAGGAAAAGGACGCCAAAGATGACGCCGACGCAACAGCGGCTGCTGCCGGCGCCAAGGGAAAGCTCGGCAAGAAGCGGCGCAGGAGAGATAGCAGCAGCAGCAGCAGCAGCAGCAGCAGCAGTAGCAGCAGCAGTAGCAGCAGTGGGAGCGACAGTGACAGCAGCAGCAGCAGCAGTAGCAGCAGTGGGAGCAGCAGGTGAGTTGACCAGGGTGTATCGTGGAGATAGTGACAGCTCGTGGTCGTCGTAGTGGACGATTGAGCGATTGGGCTGTGGTTTGTGTTTCGTTTGCTAGTGGACCGTGGAATACTAAGCCGTCGTACTTTGTTCTCAGGGTGGAATGTGGAAGAGAGAGGTTGACATGACGTTGGGAGATTTGCCTTTCCAGTTTGGACATGTTTCAGCGGTCATGGCAAGTTTCATCGTGTCTGCTTCCTTTTCACTTTCTCGCTCCTTCTGCTCCTCTCGTGTTTCGGCAGTAGCGGGAGCAGCAGCGACAGCGATAGCGATAGCGATAGCAGCTCGGGCAGCAGCAGCTCCGGCAGCAGCAGCTCAAGCGGCAGCAGCAGCTCAAGCGGCAGTAGCAGCAGCAGCAGCAGCAGTGGCTCGGACAGTGACAGTGACAGTAGCAGCAGCAGCAGCAGCAGCTCAGAGGAAGAGGATAAGAGGGCGAGGAAGAAGCGCAGGGGTAGCGGTGGGGCCGCTTACTCCAAGTCCTCGTCGAAGCAGGCGTCATCCTCGAGGCGATAAAAAAACGTCCACACGAACCAGTCCAGTAGATGAGAGATGGGACACCAAGGGGGGGGATGCATTGAAGTTGAAGCCAGGAGTAAGATCTACGGCGACAGCAGGGGCAGAAGATGCAGTGACGGCGCTGTGCCGGGGCGTTCTCCACACGGGAGAAAAAATCTATCTTGTTGATCGAAATGCAGAGTGTGGTCCTCGCTGCTGTAGTGAGGCAGTGAGGCAGTGTGCACGCTTGATGCGCTGCTGTCCTACCAGCTTTCAATCCTGCACAGATTCTCAAATCGGAGTCTTGTCGAGAAGAGATGGATACTCCACATGCCTCGATCTTCCTGTTCCTCTACGCTCGTTGCTAGCTCCCATGGTATCAAATCTACTCGTGTGTCGAGGTACTTAGCATGAGCAAGGCGGTGTCGTTGGGAGCTTTGCCAGGGACGGGATGAGAGGTGTAGATGCGAGTAAGAACCATGTGTGCTCGGACGTTCTTCGATCGTTGTGTGTGTGCAATGTGGTATCCATCAGTGTCGACGTCGATGTGTTGACTACCGCTTTTTGAGTGCTGTAGTAGGATGATCGTGAAGGATCGAGGGCTGCGTACTTCTTGTACATGTCGCGTCAACAATTGATGAACAGAGAGAAGTACACACAATTTTTCTTGCGATCCCTCGAAATGCCGCCGTCAACATGGATGCCACACCAGGAGGTTGCTCGCGGCCAGTAAGGCTCCGTTAGAGCCAAGACTCGAGGGACCTGACGTGTGTTCCATCCACCAGGGCAAAGGTAAAGAGACACACCCTCTACCGCATACACATAATTTGGACCTCAAGGAAGCTCGGCTATGAAGGTGTCGCTTGGAAATGCCGGATACCCGGATTCGACGAAACCCAAGGACAACGGGTGCGCTCATATATTTTGTCAAAAATTCTCCCAGGTGCCTCTTTGTACCTCAAGGGACCCGATGAAGTTTTGAGGTGCATGCAGGGTTGCGTAGTCAAGTCGGATGTCGAAATCTTGGAAAGGCAACTCGGTCCTCCGGGTATTCGCGGGAACTATCCGCACGAACGGCTTTGAAAGCGTTCGGGGTCGTGGGGGGGTGCACTCGAACCGGAGGAACCCTGGAACCCACTGCCCCACATTGTGCCACGAAGCCTCGGAAGTCAAGCATACCCTTTGTATGGCTATGATGACAAGCGGAGCGACCACCGTCTTGCTGTTACGAGCTAAAGTTTGTCCGTCAGATTAAGTTGTTGGTTCACATACTTCTAGACAGTAACGCGGGTGAGGGCTTTGTCACCGGTTAACTTGGCAAAGACTATGCTCATTGGCCAGATACGGTGCAAGAACGTCTGCAGCGCCAGGAAATATTATGTGGCAGTGGATCAGACAGCGTCTCGCCGGTCTCCGCGCGAAAAGTATTATTTTCCCGTCGAGTGCCCTTGCCGGCATCCAGTCAAGGCAGACGCCATGTCCTGAAGCCCCGTCAACATGCTCGTATTGTCGAGAAAATCTCGACGGCGAGTTGCGTGTAGGGCATGAAGCACTCGAGGGCAACTCGGCCCCGCACCCCACCCACGGTTGTTTTTCTTGTTTTTAGATTTTTCAATCTCCCGTATTTGATTTCACTCCTTGGCGTACCCATGCCGCACCCCCTCGCGCTGTTGCTGAAACTCTACCCCCTCACCGCGCGGCGGAAACAGGACTAAAGCACGAACAAAAGGAAGAGTGGGTTCATCTCGATGAAATGAAGCCATCTACCCTAGAAGCAAAAGGGCCAGAGGAAAGGCTCAGCGACCATCCCATGGTGCGGACACCCGTCAAAATCCTCTCAAGAAATCGTCCTCTCTCGTGGTTTACTTCCGACCGCCTGCCGCCACGATCTTTCCGCGGCGTCCGGTGGTCTTGGTGTGCTGGCCGCGCACGCGCACGCCCCAGTAGTGGCGGATACCACGGTGGGAGCTGTGGGAAGGCAGCGACAGCAACGGCGAGAGGCGACAAGCGGGTACGCCCCACATGTTGAGAAAATCTGACAACGCTCCAACTCAGGAACAAACTCCGAAAAACTGCTTCAAATCAACGCGACGACGACAACCGAATCACAACGCAATCATCGACAAAAACAAATGGCCGAGCAGGGCGTAGGACCTGAAGCAGACGCCCAGGCAGTGCACGCACACGGTATGCGTAATCCGGAGGTTATGGCGACTCGGGTGAGGGTGCAAGAGAGAGCGCGGCCGCAGCCGCGAGGATGTCGGTGGCGCAACTGAACAACTGAATATCCGGCGAGGAAAAACCAATCAAAGGGCAGGAACGAGACAGCCCTCCTAAGACGGAACGCGTCACGATGAAAATCCCGCAAATACCACAACGTTCCCACCTCCAACCCTGAGACCTCCTTCACCGACGAAAAAACAAAGCGAGTAACCCTAGTGGATCGATCCAGCAACGCAACGACGCAATAACATGGGCGCTCGCTCGGTCCGCCTTTGTCTCTTACCGGATCTTCTTCAGCCGCTCAAGGTCATCTCGAAGCTTCTGGTCGATGGTCTGGGACGAGATCTGGGTGGTCGTGCCGGTCTTCCAGTCCTTTTGCCTATTGAGGAACCAGTCAGGGATCTTGAACTGGCGGGGAGTCTGGATGATCGCCACGAGCTTCTCGATCTCGTCAGCGGTCATCTCTCCGGCCCTGCGCGAGGAGTCATCCAAGAAAAACAACAGACGCGTGGAGAAGAACGAAATCGTCCAACATGAATTGGTCGATAGATACAAGCGTTGGTACACATGCAAGTGTCGGTACTTGCCAATGTAAGGAGTACTAATGCGTGAGAGACCGCGAACAAACACAGCATGTCTTCATCCTACTTACTGGCGGCGTTTCAGCCCTCGCTGTGCCAACTTAACAGCAAAGCCATCGACAGGTGCTTTCAAGCAGCCTGCTCCCAAGTCTTCTTTGCACGAGCACCTCCGAAAAACACTTCCGCCTTCCAACGATCAATTACATTCGATAGGCCACGCGGGGGGGATTCGTCGATCTCCTCGGGCTCATGTGGAAGAGAGCTAGCGACGGAGGAAGGGCACCAATCAGAGCGCATCGATAGGTGCCCCGCAAGACCCAGCAAACTACAACATTTTCAGGGACGCAAGGCAAAAGAGGGAAAAGAGTGCTTCACTCTTCTCGCATTCAAGATCGACGGCAAAGTACCGCAGGAGGGGTGGGTTGGGGGGTTCAGGGGTATGAACCCTTCTGTGTGACGGAGGGTTGGAGTAAACGGCACGAGTGCTGTGAGCACTGATTTGAAAAGGCGAAAAAAAAAAGAAAAAGCTACAGCTCAGCATTTCACCATGAGCTGCTCGGCCAGCTCGACACAACGCGTCCTTCACCCACCGCTTGTTGGGGTCAACCTCAGCCTTCTTGCAGATAAGGTTGGCAAAACGGCGACCCACTCCCCTGATGGAGGTCAGCGAGTACTGCACCTGCCATCCACGTAGGTGTGCGACGGAGAGAGATTATGGCGTACACACAGGAAGACAGGCACGGAGGGGGAGGCGGGAGCAAAAAGAATTTGCGCGGCGCCGCCGCCACAACACTCTTCCACGCGACTCAACTGAACAATCACGTGGAATGGGATATAACGAGTTGGCTCCTACATGTTAATAGCCGCATCTTTGCTCGGAAGTGGTCTCACTCAATACCGTATATGACACAAGATAACACACCCCCTGGACCGATTTTCAAAGCTCGATTACTCCACGACGAGGATGTCCTGGGTAGGAACTGCTGTAAGGGGTACTGCCGTGTACACACCACAACGTGGTCCATGGTGGTACTGATTAGACAGCAGCGGCAGTGGCAGAGTCTCGTGTACAATATTGGACCGGATGCGCGCGAACAACGCTGCTTTACGAAAAAACACCGGACAACAGGCCAAACTACATTATGTTGTAGTGCTGAGGAGTTGTGTCTTTTTGTCACAGCAGGATCACATCGACACACCCCCTTCGGCGGACTTCCACCCACTCTTTCAAGCTTCTTATTTCCGTGTTGTCTCTGCCGTTTCCCTACCCCTTGATTCCCTCGAAGAACCACGAGTTGTGAGTGAGGAGGCACACGGCGACAAACTATTTTGCAGCTGGTGTGCTGATGCTGCTGCTGCCGCTCTCACCACCCCCTCGGGGCGCTGGGACATGACCGCTGCTGTGTTGCGGGGTGAGCACCTATTTGTTGGAGCCCACCATTGCCACCCACTATCGTACTACATGTGCACACAGCAGTGACAGCTTATTTTTGATCGACCAACTGCTTTGCTGGAGAGTCACGACAATGCTCAGGAACTGCGAAGCACCTACATCTTTTTCTTCGGGCGACGGTGATGGGCAGACGAAGAAGATACACAATAGACAGTAGACAGCAGGCGGAAGGCGGTCGTTGTTACAGCAGTAGTACGAGAGCGACTCAAATGATTGTTTAGTGTTGGGAATGGAGGTACACACCAATGACAAAAGTGTCATGTGCACCCTCTGGGCGTGTCTTTCTATTCCCTCTCCTTCTCCCTCTTTCCCTCTTACCTTGCGGCGGCCATCGATGTTGGTGTTGAGGATACGAAGGATGTGCTGGAACTCGGGCGAGATAACGAGAGACTGGTCCATCCACACACCCACAGCAGCAGCGGCGGCGTGCGGTCGCAAACACATGGCCAAACCGCGTTGTGGCGCAGACAAGGGAGGGCAGCAACTCATCAGACTTAAGACGATGGAACCAAACACCACGACATCGAGCTCGGGCACCCAACGGTGTGTGTTGTATGTGGGTATCGGCGCTGGTCAGGTTACCTCTAGCTGGGAGGAGAACATCAACATTTACCCTCAGAAAGACGTCCTCACTCACAGGACAAAGAGGGTAGTTTCGTGGCGAGATTCTGTCTAAAGCAAGACGAACTCCAGAATGCACAACCACAGCACTTGCAAACGGCTACAACAGACTAGCAGCAGTCCCTCCTACAGCGGGCATGGCTTCGAGCCTCCTAGCGCCACCAGCAGCCCCGCTTTTATTGCTGGGCAATGGACTACGTGCTCTATCGATGGCCATGAGACACCCACAAAACAAGGGAACCACCGCGTGTTTTTGATCGTCCCTCCAATCTCGATACGCCGAAATCCACTCCCTGGTTCCACTCAAGCCATGCGTACACAATGCTCCTTCCTGTTTGGCTCACGGTCCACTCACCATGGCTCTGACCTTCCGCAACAGCACGCTCCCAGAGCGACAGGAGATTGTGAGCACACACCCGCTTGTGAGAAGCCCTCGTGCCCACCCCTATTTTTTCTAGTATTTTTCCCATACACACACATCCCCCTAGTTCCTAGCCGAAGACCCCCTGGCTTAACTTGCATCTGTCCGCGCCGGCCAGGTGCATCACACACCACACCTCTCCGACAAAACTTTGCTTGCGCGCGCCTCGAAGCGACGTCTGCAGCTCTTTCCACGACCCCGCTCCGCTGCTACTATGTCTCAGGGAACTGTCAAGGCGTGCTTGTCGGGAGACACGGTCGTCCTCATCGGTGAGCATCTCATCTCGCCACCCGCTTTGGGTTGTAGAACACCCCCCCCAGTACCTTTCCTCACCCAAATAGCCAAGCAGCATTGAACAACACACACAAGCACGGCCCGTTAGACGAGGCAGTAGCGGGTTGCTCTTCTTGCATGTGGAGAGCATGCATCGGCATTGAGTAGGAAAAACGGGGGTTGCGCGTTCGGCAGTTCATGCCCGCGCGCCCTGAAGCTCTCCGATGCCCGTGACCTCTCTTCTCGCGATATCTCTCTCATGTCTTAGTTTTGTTCCTGCTTCTCCCTCTCGCTCTCCTCTCGCTCTCTCCCCGCGCCAACCCCGCGTTGGCAGGTCGAGCCGGCACCCACGGACCTCCCCCCGAGATGCAGCTCTCGCTTGCCTCCCTCGCGGCCCCGAAGCTAGGCCGCGCCCCAGGCATCGCCGATGAGCAATTCGCCTGGGACAGCCGCGAGTTCTTGCGCAAGAAATGCATCGGCAAGCAGGTGTGTGTTTCCCCGGTGCCGCTGGTGTGGATCTATGCAGCTGCTGTGCAAGCTTTCGCCTGCTGTATCCTGCAGTCTGCTGCTAAGGCTGAGGCTGGCCGGTAGCGAAAGCAGAGGCTTGTCCATTTTCATCGTTAGGGCTGGGTAGTACGGCCGTTCCGTGTGCCACTCCAGGAAAAAAACTCAAATTGCAACACGAGCGGAGTCTGGACGCGGAGTAGCTACCTGGCGAGGATTTGGCTAAATGTTTAGTACCACCAGACGGCGCTCTTTCATTGGTCCGTTTGTTTTCGGAGTGAGAAGGGAGAAAGCAGGGGGGGTCATGCTGACACGCGGATGATTCGTTAGCCCACTGTTATTGTAGAGCGCCTTGCTGCAAGACGGACATACTTGGTTGACGTGCTGAACGTACCCGTGTGCTGTAGACTATCCGGAGTTACGAGAGCTTGATTCTGCTTGTGTTGGAACACCTTGGAAATGGTGTGAACTGCTGTTCGCCGACGTGCACCCCCGCGAGCGAGGACCAATAAAAAGACCATCCGCGGCACCAGTCATTTGCAACAAGCAGTGGCATCCGTTGTTTTCGGCTCCTATAAACCTTCTGTCTCTGTGGCCGCACGCGGCATTTATCCGCAGGATTTTTGTTTTATAGGCCGCTTCTTGGTGCGGCCGTTCTTGACCTCAACGCTACAAACGCTACAACAGATGACCTCGTTGTTGGACCGGCAAATGCATCCGTAGTCGAGAGACAAGGACTGAGCATTCGATCACACAGCGGTATCTTGGTACGCCACCGAAAGCCTGGTCGAACCTCTCGGGTGATTTAAATACGGAAACAGGGCTTCCCATGCTGGCGTGCATGTGCCCACGGCCACTGCTGTTTGCTCTGCTGCCTACGGTCACTGAGGGCCGTCTTCACGAGAAATTTATGAGGAAGTTGAACAGGCAGGAGATCTGCAGACCCTGACACTGAGTCGACTTCCTCAATGGCAGGCTTTATCCAACATGTTCGCCGCAACGGCAAAACCTGCGAAGGGTACTACTGATCCTCAACTACCTCTTGGGGGCCACAGGTGACCTTCAAGGTCGAGTTCCAGGCGGGAGCCAGCGGGCGCAACTTCGGCTGGGTCAAGCTCGACGGCGAGAGCCTGGCCGTGGCCGTGGCGGCGGCGGGGTGGGCCAGGGTTAAGGACCAGGGCGCTTCCAGCAAGAGCTCCGAGCTCGAAGAGCTGGTGAGCCGCACAGGGGGCGGGGGGGTTCAGCACCTGTTTCGCTCGTCGTTCATCGCCGATTAATACTGTAGGTTGCAGCTATACTACATCAATAGTTGTGTAGGAGCTGAAATCCACGAGCTCGAGGAGCTGGAGAGCACAGCAAGCAGCTGTGTAGCAGCTGAAGTCCACGTTAACGTTCACGGGTGTTTTTGTTTTTGTTACAGCAGTAGCAGCAGCAGCACGGGAGTGTTGGCAGTGAGGGGACATGGGACAGGAGGAATCGTGTTGAGACCCGGTGTGTTGAGCGTGGGCGGCGAACGATGCACAGCGTTCCTTCCCTTCCGCGAGCGATTCCCGTCTCCTCGTGCTAGGGGTGGGTAGTAGACGTGGGCGTGCGTGCGGGAGAAATATGTGAGTGTTTTTTATGTCGTCGGAAGCTCGATCCGACTGACCAAAAAAAAATACGCCAGTCTCGATGGGACAAAAAANTATTCGGCGAGTCGCATGAAGGGTGCGCTGCATCCTGCTAAGGGTGTTCGGCATCTTGTGCTTACTTCCTTGCGTACGGATGACAGCTGCGTATGACTTAATTTACTTTCTGGTGATTTCACTTCCAGAGACAGTTGTAAGCGCTGTGTACTGCCTCGAGGGTGCTCGACCATTTGAACACAACGTAATGCGATGATCCCCCTTGCGCGGAGTGAGGGTTCTCGACCCCGCACAACATGATCTACTCGGCCACCATTATGGTTACCGCCAAAAAAAAAAACGGAGGTAATAAACAAAAAAAACGGTAACCTGGTTGCCGAGTTCACGAAGTGAATTGGCTTGTTTTACAACATCGTTGCCAAGCGACGAAAACCCAATCCCAATGGCAAACACCGGGGGGGCCGGCTTGTTTTACAATGTCGTTGCCAAGCGACAAAAACCCAACCCCGATGGCAAACACCGGGGGCGGCGGGGTGTTTTGGTGTGAGGAGGTTGGAAGACCGCATTCGGCACGTGTAGCGAGAGTAGCAGAATTCAATCAGCTCGCAAGAACCTGTTCCTGTTTCTCTTTAAAATCCACTTTTTTTCCTGATGGTCGTCCCCCCCGTCCCTCGCCTCGTCGCCCCCCCTCCCGAACTACGTTGTCGCGGGATGCGTCTTGTCGGATATACGACGGCGGCCGCCTTTAATCACAGGTGGAGTTAGGAAAAAATGCCGAAGCGAACAAGCTGGGCATCTTCACTGACGACAGTGCCAAGCAGGAGGCGGGGGTAAGAGCGTGGGAGTTTTTGCGTGCTTTTGAAGGCGAGAGATGGGCTTTTGACGTCGGCGAAGCCGAGAGTAGGAAGAAGTAGACACCCCTAAGCGTCGGCGTTTTGTGTTGGTGTTCCTTGAGGAAGAGGTGGGAGGCAGGGGGGGGCGGAGGTTGCTCAGGCACTGGGACAGAAGATAGGCAGTGACGGATGATGCAGACTGAAAGAACCGAGACACAAGAGATGCCGACGTCGTCTGCACAGTACGTTTACATAAAACTGCAGTGTTTTCAAGAGATCCCCCGTCTGAAAGGACACGCGAGGGGCTAGAACAGCGGAGGTGATAGATGAGAGAAGCCGACCGGGTGCTGCGCCGGTTCCGGTCCCCAGAACAAGCTGCGACAAGCGTCTGTAGGACTACAGCGGCAGTAGAGATCCGCGAGAAGTGGATAATGTAGGAAGAACCACCACTCAGCTCAAAGTGAGTGAGCGAGCGAGCGGTAACTCAACGACATTCTCCACCCTGTTTTTGCCCCCGCTCCCGCTTCGAAACGAACGACACACGCCTCCCCAAAACATGTTTTTGGAAAAAAATTGAAAAAAAGAGCCGCGAGGTGAAGTGGACCGACGTGGACGGGGTGGCGATCCTGGCGGCGCACAAGGGGGTGCCCGTGAAGGCGACGATCGAGCACCTCAGGGATGGCTCCAGCTATAGGTGCGATTTGCATTTACTCGGTCCGGTTGGTGGGGTAGAGTGCCTGTGGGGTCTCGAGAGCAACGTCTGCTGATTCAAGCTTGAGATCGATGACTGTTGGTGGATGCTGTGTTTTCTGTGCGCCCCCCGCCCCCGCCCCCCTCATCCTTGTATCTGTGTACTCGCTGCTGATGTTGGTTCAGGTACACACCGTACTCCCTTGTCCCCGGCGCGCTGCGCTTTTTTTTTGTGTGTTTTCCCCAAAAAAACAGAGCGCTGCTTCACGACTCGTGGACCATGATCTCCTTCAGCCTCGCCGGCGTCGCGTGTCCGAGGATGAACGCGCCGGCGCGCCGCCCCCCGCCCGCGGCCAACGCGGCCGCCGCCGCCGCCTCCGCCGCTGCCGGTAAGACAGCGGGCATGTCGGCCGCTTCGATCGTCGCCGGCGGCGGAGGCGGGGGAGTGGGGGCGTCGAATGGGCACGCCGGCGCCGCGAACGGCAGCAACGGGGCGGCGAGCCCGCCGCCCCCGCCGCCTCAGCCGGAGCCGTACGCCGCGGAGGCGAAGTTTTTCTCGGAGGTGAGTCGATGAAGGAAGCGGGCCACCATAGTTGGTGGTGGTTGCTATGGGCGGTGAGGGGTACGGCGTGGGTAAGAACGTAGCTTCGCGAGGCCCTCGTGGGCACAACAATCAGCCAAGTGGCGAAGGTCTCTTGGGATTCGTGGAACCCCGCTGGGTGCTGACTGGTACTTCTTGGTAGCTTGTCCATAGGTCAAGACCCGTGCAGGGAGCTTTCGGCGCTGCTGCCAGGACCCGCAAGAGCTTATGAACGAGTTTTTGTGTCGGCGACATCTGCGTGCCCCCTGCTGCGTTCTATCCTCCCCCCTACTGCTTTCTACCTCCCATTCCCGACACTCCCGTTTGTCACGGCGCGTCACCCGTCAACAACGGAACAAAAACGAATCGAGAAAAACGTAAGAACAACCAATAATAAGCGATTCTCCCATGCACACCCCAACTATACACGCAGGTGCGACTGCTGCACCGCGAGGTGAACCTCCTCCTGCAGGGGGTGGACAAGCAGGG